CCTGGGTTAAGCAAATTAGAAGCTATAGATGAGTCAGTTCTTGACCCTGAAACGCTGTCCCTTCGGAACTCCTTGAGATGTTGGCTGCACTGATAGCTGGTCAAAACCAGACTGTAACCGCACTGCAGGCGCCACGACCTCCGGTCAGGCAACCACAGTTTGTTGTAGCTCCCCCTACAATTGCAGGTCCAATAATGACGCTGCCACCAGTAGGGCAACCGTGTTCTCCACAGTTTGGCATACCCTAATCAGGCGGATTAGTAGTAGGTAGTAGTGGGCAGATTTCGATACCTTCGTCACTTCCACAATCCGCGGCTGCTGCTACAGGGCAACCGCATGTACAGCAGCCTGTGCAACAGTTACCCCTGCAGCAGCAGACTGCTCCCTTGGTTTCACAACCAATGCAGCAAGCACAGGGTGTTATACAACCCATGCAGCGGACCCCCAAGATACCCTTGCTGAGTCCTAAACCCTTCTCTGGCGACAAGAAGAAGGAAGAGGACCTCGCTACCCGGGTGAGGACTGTGCCTATGTACGTGAGGCATAAGCTCACAAGGACCGAGGAAGAGTTATAGTTGCCGCAGTCCACATACATGAGGTATAAGCTCACAAGGACCAAGGAAAAGGTTATAGTCGCTGCATCCTTTCTAGAAGGGTCTGCATCCAAATGGTTGAACGGAGTAGTACAGCAACAGGGTTACGGTCAAAACTTCGATGGCTGGGCACATGCCCAGACTTTGGAGGAATTCGTACAGATGATCTACAACAGGGGGCATGACAGTCAAGGGGCTCAGAAGGCCATTGACTCGCTAGCTAGTCTAGGATAAAAAGAATACCGGATAGTTCGCGAGGTTACTACGCTATAGAGCGTCTGATTATTGTTCCTGGTGTGCGGTACGATCCGCAGGTCCTCCTCACAACTTATTGCCACGTCTGCCCACAGATGCCAAAAATAAGTTGGTCGAGGAGGCCTCCATAGATGTACATAACTCCTCCATAGATGTACATAACTTTGCCTCGCTCAGCAAGAAGACCTTAGACATAGAGACTAAGCTCGGGAGTGCCCAACAGGGATCGACATATGGCAAGAAGAAGAAGCTTCCTCGAGATTGGATAAAGAAGGGCACCCTCATGTTCGTGGACCATGACGATCAAGCGGCTGAGACTGGCGACTTCTCTTCCCTTGGGAAAGATGAGAGTGTAGAAATTTTAGATGCTGAAGTAGTCGCTTCTATCAAGGAAAAAGCTAAGAGGGTCGGGTCGGGAAGCAGAAGGCAGGCCACCCGTATGGGTAAAGCTAGGTCTAGTGTACGAGGTATGGCGAGATCGTGTTGCTCGAGGCACTTGACTAAATTGTGGCCAGTATGGGCACACAATGGCTAAGTGCAAGAGTAACCGGGTCGCTATGAAGGTCGCGTCCTCTATAGCGACGGTTGGATCTTCCAACTGTGGTGGTACTCCTGCGACCAGTGTTAGCCGCTCTTAGTTGTGTTGAAGTGGTACCCTTACCTTCTCCATTTCAAACAATGGTCAAGACTATTGACCTCATGATCGCCCCGCAGAAAGATCCGAACCAATTGATGCTCTGTTCGATGGATGTGTCTGAGTCCTTAGAGGAGTTGGAGATTGAATGGTTAGAGAAATACCCTAGAGACTCTTGGGCAATGTTGAACAAAGGTCCAAAGGGTGAACACTTCGTGTTAGAAGTCAATGTAGGTGGCCAAAAGGTGGGCGTCTTCGCATACATAGGTTCCACGCGAAACTTCATCAACTGTGTTTGTGTGGATAGGCTGCGCTTAGGGGACCAAGCGCAGCGGCTTAAAAGATTTGTAGCATATACCTTGGCCAACAAGCACTCCATAATAGTTAAGGCAAGGACGTAGTCGACATCTATTGAGACATAAAATCTCGTTCCTTGTTAGCGATGAGCTGCCTTTCAACATGTTGCTAGGTATGTACTACCTCAAGGTTGCTTAGCCTCAGTTCAATTGGGATAGGAAGGTGATCCGGAAGTTGCAAGATGGAAGGACCGTTAGGCTTCAAAAGTTTAAGGCTAGCAGACTAGTGAAGAACTATGGTTGCATGTGCGCGTGGTCTTTCTATAACTACTACAAGCAGAACCGCGGGGAAGGAATGTACCTAGTCTTTGTCCCTGAGAAAGGGGAGGCCGTAAAATCACCCCCAAAGATAGAAGAAGTCGTTGCGCAATATTTAGACCTTTTTGAGGAGCCTAGGGGTGTGGTGGAAAGGGAGATTGTCCACGCAATAGAAGTTGTCCCCGATAGCAAAGTACCTCGAGGGCGAATCTATAAAATGTCTCCGGCGGAGTTAGACGAGCTTCGCCGCCAGCTCAAGGAGCTCACAAAGAAAGGCTGGATTCGGCCAAGTGCGTTCCCCTACGGAGCAGCAGTTCTATTTGTCCCACAGAAGGGGGGACCCTAAGGATGTGCATTGACTATAGGGGCCTCAATGCCATCACCATTAAGAACGTGGAGCCCCTACCACGCATTGATGACCTCTTGGATAGAGTGTAGGGATGCCGGTACTTCACTACGATAGATCTGAAGTCCGGATATCATCACTGAGGACCAACACAAAACCGTTTTTCAAACCAGATACGGTCTATACGAGTTCGTGGTGATGCCTTTTGGACTGTGCAATGCTCCTGGGACCTTCAAGCACACAATGAACCGGATCTTTCATGAGTACTTAGACAAGTTTATCGTCGTGTACCTCGACGACATCGTTATCTTTACTTGGACTATAGAGGAGCATGTTGAGCACGTAAAAACAGTGTTAGGGCTCCTAAGACAGCACCAATACAAGGCTAACCTGAAGAAATGCGGATTTGGTCGCACCAAGATCTTGTATCTGGGTCATGAGATTTCCGCGAATGGTTTGAGGTCGGAGCCTAGTCCATGGATTTCATGGATACCCTTGTTACCAGCAAGAGTGGTAAACGGCACATTTTCGTCATAGTAGACAGGTTCACTAAGTATGCTAGACTAATCGCTATGTCTGAGACAGCTAGGACTGAGCGCATCATCAAGCTATTTATGAAAGACTGGGTACGCGACTTCGATCTGCCTAAGTCTATCGTGAGCGAAAGGGATGTCACATTCACTAGCGAACTGTGGCAAAGTACAGCCCAACAGATGGGCACCCGACTGCATATGACATCAGGGAACCACCCTGAGTCAAATGTACAGGCCGAACAGATGAGGTGGGTAGTGCAGCACTTGCATCTGCATTATATTAAGCCAAGTCAAGATGACTGGGATGACACGCTATCGCTCATCGCCAGCCTGTATAACAATGTTGTGCAGAGCATTACCGGTAAGACCGCCAACCAGATGCATCTTGGTTGGAAGCCCAGATCTGCTCTTGACTTCCTGTTGCCTGAAAAACAGCCAACCGCAGCACCTGGTAGCATAGAGTTTGCTATCAAGTATGAACAGATGCTGCAGCAAGCTGTAGAGCACATCAAGAAAGCTCAAGATGCCATGGTTGCATCTGAGAACAAACACAGACGACAGTCTGCATTTCAGGTAGGTGAACGAGTCTCGGTAAAGTCATCTGAGTTGGGACAGGAGTTGGGAATCTCACGTAAATTAATGCCACAGTACTTTGGACCGTGGGAAATCCTTGATACAGTGGGAGGTCAACCAGATGGTCCATATGTCATTCGCATCCCTGGTCACCTCTGCACACACTCTGTTTTCCATGCCTCCGAGTTGGCACCTTTCACTGAAACTGAGCAGTTTCCCTCAAGAAGATCTATGCTGGCCCCGAACCATGGATGGACACATGGACATCGATGGCATTGTTGAGCACGCGCTGATGCCTGTGCCCAAGCCTCCAGGCAGGGGACGCCCTCCAAAACCGCAGATGCAGTACCGAGTGTGGTTCAGACACACTCAGAGGACTATCAAAGTATGAGGGTTATTGCCTCGTCATAGGGCCCTGCAGAAGGCGCGTGCGCGCCCTAAGTGAAGGCGGGCCCCCCTGAACCTCAATGCGCCCTGAACTCGTCAATTTTTGCAAATCTTGATCGGTGCCAGACAGTTGCCACGCGCCAGTTGGTTACATCCGCCTTGCTCGTGAGATTCCAAAAATATTTGTGAGCCTTCCACGCTCTTCTGGCACATGGTGTAAGCAGGAAGCACCGCACATTTGTGCCTTGGTGGTTGGGCATGCCTAACCAATTCGGTCCCAGGCCACTGTCTGAACGGCCCTGGGCGCAGAGACTTTGGCCAAGACTGAAGCTACTGGAAACCTGGTCTCACATGGGAAGCGAGCAAAAGCGCCCGCCACTTTCGATATAGGAAAGGGCAGGGCGCCGGGGAGGATATTCGGCACTTGCACTTGCAATCGGCAGTACTGCTTGGGCGTCGAGAGGGTACAGGGCGCTGCTGAGGGCAGCGCCATAGTCCAGCCTTCATAGCCAGGCTGGGGCTTTAGACATAGCCAGTGGAGGTGGTGGTGGTCTTCGTGCATGAGGGAGAAGACGTGGGTGATAAAGTCGAGGGTGAGAGAGAGAGACAGATGAGGTTGCTGATGTGACGGCACGTACTTGGTCTTGGCGATGGTCTACGAGGGTCGACATGTTCATGTACTTCGGTTCGGCAGTTCACGTCAACAGGATGCATTGTCAATTCGTAGGCTGCTAGTAAGCTGTGTGATCGTAGTCTGGGCGCTGAGCGCCAAGTAGAAGGAAGGACTCTGGATACATATGTTGGTGGTGCCGAGAGCATGCTCTCATTGACATTCGGATTCAGTGCTTTGGTTCCCTGTTTGGTGGAATATCAGGGCATTACTGCTTTCTGGACAGCGTTTGGACTTGCTGGCTTTCAATGCGATTTTGCACTCTGGATTTCTGTGATTTCGCTATACCTCATTTTCCTTGCATATTTAACCCTGCAAAAAAAAAAAAAGGGCCACCATCATCACCATGAAAATAGTTCAACATACTAAAATAACAAACATAGTTAAAAAAGAATGTAATTTTATAATTTTTATTATATTTTAATACACTTATCAAGGTTATCCTAATGTTCTAATGGTGTTGGCATCACAATAAAATCCCCCAAAAGCCTAATTCCCTCTGACGTAACTGTCAGCTCATTGATTCTGCTCCACGGTCCCAGCGAGAAGTGCCGCTCCTTCCGGTTTACCCGTTTCTCTTGAAGATGGGGAATGCAGGCAGTCTCACTTTGCCGCCTTCCGACGCTTTCCAGATTGTGCACTTCGGATGCGGCCACTAGCGAGCGATGGGCAGTAGGAGGGGGATGCAGTGCGGCAGGAGGTCCCTCTTCGAATGGCTCAACCTTGACACTCAACTGCTGGCCATCGTTGCCGACGTGAAACGAGAGGACAGCGGCGGCAGGCTGGGACGCAAATGCAGCCGCAGCCACCCCCTCTTGGCCCTGGGCTTGGGCTTGGGCGCCACCACAAATTGCATGCGATCTTCTCAAATTATTTGTGTCCCCACATCGCGAAGACTGAGTACGAATGGGCGGTGAACCTGAGAATGGTCTGAGGACGACCGTCCCGTCCGCGAGAGTTGCACGGAACGGCATAGACGAGGGTGCAGATGCGACAAGGGTATGACTGCTGTCTGAAACATTCCCTGTGCCCTTCGCCATGGTTGAAGCGACCGTCGGCATGGTCGGAGCTTCCTTTTCCGAGCGGGAGATCTTGTTTGCTGGTGGTGAACTGGAATTGTTTGATTTCGGAGGCGTCTTCATCGAAACAGTGTTGCTGGGGTGGCTGCCCTGATGCCCAAGAAGGTCGCTGACAACTGATGACAAAGTCGGGCTCGCCAGGCTGACAAAAAATACAAAAACAAACACACAACCAAGGAGCCTAGCTCAGTTGCTACACCCATGAACTGTTGAAATACAGACCCGAGTTCGAATCCTTGGACCTAGATGTATGCAATGACATAATTCTCAATTTCCTGGGGCTCGTCAACTCCATGATCATATCTCAGTGCCATCACCCTTTTTTTTAAATAAAAGGAGGGAGAATCAGACAAAAAAGCAGAAAAAGAAGGCAAAAACAAACAAACAAACAAACACACACACACAGAGCAGCCGCCGGGGGGGTGAGGGGGAGTGACAGAATGAAACGATTAAACAGGAAAAAAAATAAAAACAATTAACGAGAAGAGCAGCAAAACCAACTAGCAAAACCAACTAGGGCCTTGCCACACCAATGTCGCAAAACCAACCAGTTTTTGACGAACGCAGGTGAGAGTGGTACACACATTTCACTGACTCACTGTTAGTTTTTATTTGTGTGTGTGCCTGTACAGGCCAGAATGCCCTCCCACTGGGGCACACACTTTCCTTTATGGAAACTGTGCCCGCTGCTGGCTGGCCAGGCCAGGCGTGTAGGGGCCCAGTAGCTTGCTTCTGACCCCAAGTGTCTGCGGCCAGGCCCTGTTTCGGATACTGGCCTGGGCCTCATGCAGTTAGGCACGTTCAGGCAGCCACCCAGCCTCCAAGTGTTCGCAGCATTCTCATTGGCTCCCAGCTCATGTGTGACGACAATGCTGATCTCTCATTGGGCCGCGGCCAGCCCATGATGTGTCGGCCTCACACAGCGTGTGCCCAGGGCGCAACCAATCGGGGCCCTGGGCTCAACTGTGCAGCGCAGCTGTTGCTTCTTTGAGGAGCCAGGAAAGGCTCACGTTGCTTTGTAACCAACTGTCATGCTACAACTGTCTGATACCCCACATATGGAAAAACGCCAAAAAGAGGCCTCATGCGGATCTTCAGGCCCGCCTTCACTTACGGCGGGCACGAGCCTTGCTGGGGGTCGCAGCCCAGAGCACTTGTATGTCTGATAAGGGCCCCGCGAGGGCTCATTCCTCGCACACAAACACCGTTTTTTTTTTTGTTTTTTTTTCTCTCATGAGCCCCTTCCCATCCCACGTCTACCACATATCACTGTTAGTATAGATATCTTCTTTTTTTTTAACAACAAAATTTTAAAATTAGGGTACAGAATCTACAGATTGCATGGGTCCTGGGGACCATCTCACGCAAATGTGTACATGCCATGCATCGTACTCCCACACACAATGAACAGTAGTCTGACAATAGACAAAGATAGAGAAGATGAGGACCGAGTTTCACAGTTTATATTATCAGAAATATGAATACAAAGTGTTTCAAAGTTCCCCTGAGTCCAGCGCTCATCAGC